GCAAAGACCAGAATGATTGTGCCTGCCTTTCCCTGACCCAAACACCACAAAAGTAAGAATTAGTAAGTAAAGTAAGAAAAAGTAAGGATTAGTGCATTGCCTCTGAAAATAGGGGGCAAATTGAGGCACAAACTCAGTCTCAGCCCTGGTCTGAAAAAAACACACCAGAACTATATAGATATTTATGCCAAATCACTCAAATTTTGGACAACAAAAAGGGATTTATCAGTCCAAATGAAAGCTACACAATTTTTTGGTTTCTGCTTTGCAGCACAGCAGTTTCAGGTGAATTCTGATTGAGCTCTTGCTCTAATTAAAACCTAAAATTCAAGTTAGCAGTTAAAGAAAAGTACTACCAGAGACAGAAACAAAAAACTCCAACTCTACTTGAATTATTTTGCCTGCTTTACTTATTTCTGTCGTGAGTATTATCAGGAGTGTTTTCCATTCTGCCTAGTGGGAAAGATCTTAAGAATTTCTTGGTGGCCATGTTAAACACTAACTTGGGAAAAGAAAACCTCTAGCATTACTATCCATATGTCTCTTTTGGCACTGATGTCATCAGACCTCAATGTGCTTTTATATCACCACAGATGCATCTCAGTATTAGTTTTAATTGAACAAATACTGTTATCATGGCCCAGCAATTTGGTCCTCCAGAGAAATTACAAAAAAAAAAAACCACCAGCAAAGGATGACATATTTATTGGTTGTCCTCTGCCAGCTTCATCAATGTGATTGCTGTTCCTTCATTCCACATCTAGATTGTGTTTCCTTTCTTCATTCTCCTTTTCCACTCCCTTGCCCTAGGGGATACAGTGCTTTATCCAACAATGCTCTCTGAACAATCCTTCTTTCATCTAAGGGAGGGGAGGGGAGGGGAGGGGAGGGGAGCACAAATCTCATAACAAAGCTTAATGTGCTTCCATGACTTCTGAAATAACATATTTTTGTAATTTTATTTTTGACTGATGTTATTCTGATGCAATGCAATTATTTGGCAATTCTGCTTTCCCATGGGTCTGTCTGGGAAAAAAACACTGCTGCAAAAATACACATTCAAGTGTAACAATTTACTTATCAGTTCATTTATTCATTTTTAAGAAAAAAAAATTTAGAATTGTTTGCATTTCAAAGGCACTGAAAGTTCTAATCAAATCAAGCCTTTGATTTTAAAAAAATGGCATCAATCAACTCAAAAAGTATTTATAGGTAGGAAAAATTAAATATTATAGGTTTGTATTTACTTGTTTAGTTTTTTTTTTCTTTTTTTCTTTCTCTGAAAGTGATGCATTCAGTAGTAATACACAAAATTTAACATTACCACTGGCAGCCTGTCACCTGAAGGAACATGGGTGGAAGATAGGGAAATCCCTTGCAGCAGCTATGAAAAATGCTTCTTTTATTATATTAGAATATATTATTATATATCCTTTTATTCTTTTATTCAAAATGGTTCTGGTAGCCAATTCAGCTTTATAAATTCCCAAAAATCTTACCCCCAGCTGCTCAACCCTATCCCAGTTTCACTTTATTGCCCCTTTATCTTACTTTTTAAGAGCCTTAATATAAACTGGATGATTCAAATCATGATCAGAATTAAATAAACAAACACTTCTGGAAGTCTCTTTTAAACCTGGATCATTTTGTGAATCTGCTTTTCAACACAATCCTGCAAACAGTTATGCTGACACAAGTGTACAGGCTGCAAATTGTGCTGGAGAACCAGAAATAATCAACCAAGCATGAGAACTTCAGTTCCCAAAGCACTTTTCAAGAACAGGCAATTAAATTTCATGTGCTAAGACTCACAGAAAATAAGTCGGCCTCCCACTGGCAGATCTATCAATGAAACTCTGGAGCCCAAAGTTCCACTTTCCTGACTAACTAAATAATACCTCTGAAAAGAAGTGCCACAAAGTATTTGCTAAAGGGTTTTGCAAAAGTATGGAAAACAGAGTTCTCTTTTCTACTGTGAGGATCTAAATCTGAATTTAAGTACACCTTACAGTAATAGTCTCTGTACTAAATAAAATCTCTAATAAGTCCCTGTCACTGTAATTTCCCTTGCAAGGAATGTATCAAGAAAGAAAAATCCATATTTATATTTGTTCAAATATGTATCCCAGAGCTCAGCACAGATATTGCTCTCAGTTTTATAGATGGTCCACATTACCATTGCGAGCTCCAAACTTCGAGCTCATAGAAAGTGTAAATCTCATCTCACCATTTGCATGTTCTGATTGGCACTAGCTACACTCAGCCTAAAATTTGGATTATTGTAGGGATGTTTGTTTCTATTTTCTATAGTGTCTTTCTTCTGATTTATTTTCACATTGGCCTAATTTTCAACATTTTTTTCTCCATTGCTTCTAATTAAGCTGCTTCTACATCTTATGAGCTTCATTTAATTCAATTAATTAAGGAATATATTTATATAACAAAAGATAACGAATCCACCAAGCTTGCTTTCCCAAATGCCCACAGCTCTAATAGAAGGAAAATTAAAGGCACCTATTTTAAAGTTAAGTACCTGCAGCATGGTAGCATTGTGACAAAAGGATCAGAAATATTTTACAGATATTTTGGGGGTTTTTAACACTTTTTTGTCCCCTCAATGTTTAGATTATGACTTAAGCAATGATGGTGCAATAAGGTCACTTGCTCTAAAATGGAAGGTCTTATCCACATGAGGTGGAGGAACTCTTTTTCACCTTTTGGGATCATAATACATGAGTGAGACTTTTTGTTAGAATTACCTAAGAATCATACAGGAAGATAAATCACAGAATAGCAGGGGTGTAGCAACAATTTTCTAATATAATTAAGATAGTGTTTAAGATACAATGATGTAAACTGATCCCTGAGTGCTCTGTCCAGTGGAAGAGCCTCACTTTTAGCACTGTGTAGTATCCCAGAGCTGACAAACATCAATTCTATGCCAAAACTGCAGAACTTTTATTTCACTGTTCTTTGAAGTTCTATTTCTTTACAGTCAGAACACACCCAATTGGTTTGGAGACAAAAAAAAAACCCACTTCCTAAATATGCCTTTCTTGGTAACAGACATCCTACAGGCAGATCTGGATTAATCATTTCCATCATCACTGCAAAAAGTTATTAAGTGTTTGCCAGACAAGCAAGATTTAATTCCTCCAGCTGGATGCTGCCAACCCCTTTACAGCACATTGCTCTTGTCACAGTGGCTGGGCATAGTTTTAAAATACATTAACTTCAGCCTCAGGCTAGTGTGGAGCCTTTTTGCTTGTTTGCTTTTCTTTCACCCTCTTTCTCTCACTACAGTAAAAGGAAGTTGTTGATAGGGAAGACCTTGATAGGCCATGTAAAGCCAGGATGGTTTAAGAGTATTGATAATAATTTATTAATCTTCCCAATTTATTTATGAGAAATGAGGTTGTGGTTTTTTTGTGGGTGGATGGTGGGGTAGTGAGGTAAGAGGTCATTGCCTGCACTTAGATCATTGCAGTGACATACACAGGGCCATTCAAATATCTGTGCAAACTAAACCTGGATTTCCATGTTACCCTCTCCCCAAAGCCTCTCTTAATCCCCTTCCAACAAAATCACTACCTTCATCATAATGTAATTATGGACTGCAAATGTGTAGGAACACATAATGTTATTACAGAATTATAGAATGTCCCGAGTTGGAAGGAACCCATAAGGATCAAAGTCCAACTCCAACAGTGGTGGTAGCTTTAGGACATTGTATTAAAAATATTTCTATGAAAAGGAAAGACAAGGTGAAGCAAAGACAAGATAATTAAAGCAAAATTTCTGACAAGTGAGTAACAGGAAGGCTGTCTCAAAAATTATGCAAGATAATAGTTTCTGATATCTGTACCATAACAATTCTAACAGTTCTGATACAATTCCCTGCCGCAGGTACACTGTCACGGAAATCAGTAGCACTATACTGAGAAGTAAGGGAGTAAATAAGGATTTTGGAATATTACATTGTGCTGTAATTAAAAACAAGGGTAAATTGGTCAGAAACTCAATTTCGCCCAGAGAGCATGATAAGCAGCTGGAAACATTTTCTCACTTCAGAGACTGGTTAAAGACTGATCTATTAATTTTTCTTTATTCTGATCAAGTTCATCTGTGCTTGTTTATTTGCATTAAATATAATTTTAATCACAAATCATGGGCCAACTCAGCTCACTGTGCATTCAGCCATACACCCTGGGCAGTGTTTTTGTGAGATATTAAAAATTAAGTAGGGTTGAACTAGGTCACCCCCTAGGTGTAATGAAACCCCGAATGAGAAAGAGTCTGAATTATTTCTTCAGCCTACATGTCTGCTTAGAAAATGGCACTTACCTTCAGTAGAATATTTGGACATAAATTATGTAATAAAAATAAATACACAGAAAATAAAACTTAAAAAAAAATCAATTAAAATTATTTTATAATGACTCCATGGAACATGTACCTCAAGTTACCTGGAAGTACCCCATTTGGCTCAGACGTAAAATTGACTGTATATATTTATTTCCTCTAATCGACTATTTTTCTATGTTTTTCACAAGTGAGCAAATGATTTCTTTAACAACCCTATTAAGAAGCAGATGGAGCATGCATACTTTGTCCCTGAGGTAGTAGCTGTATACTCATCTCAAAAGTCTGTTTCCTATTTCTCCACTTTGCAATGCAACAAAACTTTAGTCCACAAGTAGCCACAAGCCTACAAGTATGGGATTAATAGTGTAGAGGTGAGAATATATCTGCAGTGACAAATAAAGCAGGGCCAGGCGCTATTTCCCAAAGTCCAAGTGGCACAGGCTGTATCTGCCCATGACAGAAGTTATTCCTGGGTCTGCTGTGGCTTTAAGTTATTGTTAGTCCTATTCCTATTTCACTCTTTTAGTCCTGTAGGTGTAGTGATCTAAGGGCACTGTCACTGAGCATTAACATGTTTTTTAATAGCATGAGCCTAAGGGAAAGTGCTGCTTGCCACTGGTTGTGGTGTGAAGGCTTATAATGTTAGCTGGAGGAAAAATTTCCAGTAATATTGAATAAAATATAAGCAAATTAAGAACAAAGTGAGCAAAACTTGCAGCAGTCCTGTTCATACTGCCTGTTTGGAATGCTTTGTCCTCTCAGCCATTAAAAGATACAGCCTCGAAGAACTCCATTTCACACACGGCAAAGCTAAATAGAGAAGGATAATAAATAGTGAAGAGACACTAATAAGTACTAAATAGTTTGCTAGTACTGTGCCCTAGTCTCACTGCTATTCTACATATATATAAAATATATCCTGGCCTCCTGCTAGAATAGACATATACAAAAATTACAGCAATTATTTGAATTTAACTTTTTCCTATAAAGACCCTTTAAAATGTGACTATTATGAAGAATTTCCAGAACAACACAGGTGATTTTGCATAAAGTGTCACATGGCTTTTCCAAAGATCTGCATTCAAACTACCAAATATTTTAATGAAGATTTTGCTTATCTAGTTGTATATTTGGGCTCATGACTACAAGCGTTTGTTCATCAAACATCTCCTTGAAATAAATTTAAACCAAAAACTTTTTCTGTCTTTAACAAATAATTTTCATGTCAATAGTTGCTCAAGTGAATAACAGTTGCTGGATTGGAATAATTACTAGATTTCTAAAAAATAATGTGCCTTCAAAAACATCATAGAGCAATGTTTGAATATAAAATGGAGACAGAACTCGAACCATTAAAATATTTTATGGAAATTAGCCAAAATTATAGTTCCTGTCTTAATTATACTGTTTTGCAAGTACAAAGACATTAATAATATTGGAATTTATTCTCTGGATTTACAAATGTTTTTACAAACATCTTTAAAAATCGTTAGCAATTTACTTACATTTTTATTCAATGTCTGTAATCCTCATCTGGTTCATAATCTGAAGGTGAGATCCTTTCTTGCAGAATGCAGGACTGCAGAGCTGTAGCACTCACAGACAAATTCAAGGCTCCTTAACTGGCAACAGGGAAACAATAGATGTCACAGGACCACAGTAGTGGCTGTGATGGCATCTTCTTGAAGATGGCATTATAGACAGATGTCAGATAAAAGGTACAAACAGGAAGGCCTTCATGCTAATGATCCTCAATTTCCTTGGAATAATAAAACACTTTGGCTGTACTACACAAACTTGTAGGCAAGCTGGGAGTCAGAAACTGAATCAAGGGCTATGTGGGAACCAGTAAAACTTTAGAATGGCTCTGATTGAAGAAGATTACAGCCAATCAATGTAATTTTCATATCAAAGAACATTTTGGCTAAGGCCAGGAGTCTGAGCCTGTTGGAACCTCCCAGCAGTAAAAACAGGAATGAATGTTTTTATACCTGTCTGATCCTCTACATACAAAAGACAACAGCTGCTGTAAATATATGTTGACCTACCAAATTAAAATGATCCATGTAAGTGTCTTTTGAGAAGTATATTTGGCCCCCTCTGATGATGCTTCAATGGCCATCACTAAGCAGTCATAGCACATGGGCACAAACAATGCTGACTGACCCTTTACAAAGCTACTAAAGGAAGAGACAGAGGCAATTCCTGTTAGAAAAGTTAGAGAACAAATTCAAGAAGTTATTTTAAGAAAAATGAAATCTCAAGTTTAGAAACTGCTGTTTTATCTGAGATTAAAACATCAAAAACAATGATAGCACTCACTTTGCCCATGAGATTGTTATAAAACATAACTCTGCTTCCAAGGACTACAAAAACCTTAACACTTCAAGTACTGTAACACCATTTTGACAATGTCCTGTGTACAATGTATCTGCCTATAGCAGAGAAACCAACACACAGACTTTTCAGAATGATCTGAAATTTTATTACAGTTATGACCAAATTTTTGTTCCTCTATTTTCTACATGTGCATCAATGATGTTCTAGGACAATGCAAAAACTAGACACAGAGAAGTGGATTCACCAGTTCCTTCAATGACTTTTTCTTTAATGTGATACGTATTCCACTGTCGGTACCTGCCTCAGAAGTCAAGCAAAGGAAAAAAATAGTAGTGGCTAATACCAGGAAGGAAACACAAAAGCTCTGGAAAGAGTAAAATCTGATAGTAAACAGTCCCAAGATGCCCATTTGTGGCTGTGCAACATGAATTTCTTATTACAAAGGTTCTCAGAGTCCATATTTTTACCAGACACTGCATCCATTACTACTTGGACTTAATAGCCAGGAAAGGTCCTGCTGCCCTGACAAGACTTTGCACTTGTTATTCACCTGTGTAGGTGGACAGAAAAGCACAGGCATCAGCTGCCACGCCAAGGTGTTCCCTGCTGCAGCACAGCTCTGTTTCCTCTGCATGTTCCAAAGACTTTCAAATCTTACTTAAGCTACCAGTCCTTTAAACTCCTTAAAAGCCGAGGGTGTAGGTATTGCAGGATCTAGACCTTTGAGCATTTCAGCTTGAAAGTGAAAATGAATGAAACATCAACAAACCTAAAAGCACAGTAAATCAGAGCAGAATGTGTCCCAGAAGCCCAAGACTGTTAGCACAAAGATATTATCTACTGAGGAGGAATCCAGGCTTCACTCATATCACAAGAAGGCTGCAGTAAATTAGGAATTAATGTTCTGAAGTTAATTAATTTAATTGATTTCAAGCTGAGTAAGGGAGTTAAAGCTGGTATTCAAACAGGGAGAGAGTATTTAAATTTAGCTGTCATTAGCAGGCACGTGCTGCATTCCCCAAGTATCAGGACTTTTTTGCTCTCATAGTATGCATTGAGGGCACTTGAAATCTTTTACATTTCTGTTTCTTTCAGCAGAGGGGGGAATAGACTCATTATTTGCAGAAAGGTGACAAACAATTAACATAAGACACACAATTTTAGGAAAGAGAGGAGCCCATTTAATTGTTCTCCATGGAAGCTTAAGGCATTGGTTGGGGTCAGGGGGCTGAACCACATTTTATGGCAGATCTCACTGTTTTCAAAACAGGTCCCAGTCCTGAAAAAAACTTTCTGATGCATAACTGCCTTCTTTAGGAAATGCATTGCTTACTGACAACTATGCAAGTAGGATTAAACTAAATAAGAATAGTGAAAATTTTAAATGTATAAACAAAAAAGAAATGAAAAGTCAGAAGAAAAGTTCCGTGACAAACAGGTGCTGTTTCATATTCTTTCACTGAAGCTATCTCAATGATTAAAGTGATTCTATGCTTTTTTATTTTAGACATAAAATACTAGATAACCATATTGATTTTCTAATACAGTAATCAAACTCAAGGGCTTTTTTTCTCAATACCACTCTAAGCTTTCTACTACTGTCTTTAAATAAAAATGTCATATGATAGAATCTGTATCTAAAAAGCCATCTTGATGTTCATTAACAGTAAACAAAAAAAAGGAAATTAAAATTGAAGTTCTATGGAAATATGTAACTATAGGAACTGATAAAAATCAATGCAGGGCAGTGACTAAGCAGTGACTAGGACATCACTCTTTCCAAAACAGAGTTCATATTCATGCATTAGTTTGCTTCACATTCTTTATAAAATAAATTATTATTAAAATTATAGTAAAGACAGATGCAATATTATGGATACTAATAATACAGAACATACATTTTATTAAAGAGAAGTTTAGGACTAGCAGTTTGCATTATTACATTCCAGTGTTAATACATTACAGATTTGCTGTGAAAACTGTACAGTTACAAAATAAGTAAATGGAATTTTTGAAAAAAAGAATGATTCTCAGCCTCAGACAATATCTTAGAGATTCAGTGCTTTAATGCCTGTGAAGCATTTAAAGATGTCTGAGGAAAATGTACTATGTAAGTGCAGACTATTCTTGATGTTCAAGCACCATTGACAGACATAAGACAGACAGACTTCCAAATATCATAGAGAAATACTGAAGCTATATGAAAAGTTAACAATCACAAATTTATGATCTGAAATCTCCTTGTCTATTACTCTTGTCTTTACTGGCTGTGAGCGTTTGTGTGAGTGATGTTTCTTTGGTTAAACTTTTGGGTACAATTTTTCTCTCTTCAGACTGTAGCATTCAAATGCACATATCATGGTATACAAGGGGCATCTGTTATTTCTTCAGGAAATACCACAATAAACTTACAAAATGTTCAACATGCAGCCATAGAGTAGAGTTACATTTTAATTAATCTGCTTATTTATTGAGATTACTAATATTTTCATTTTTTTTAATATTTCTAAAATGTATTTCTGGATACAAGACCACGTCATAAGATCTGATTTAATTTCTTGCATATAAAAATATAATAAATGTTGCTCCTGCCCCATGGGCCTTGAAATTATAGCATAAATTCAAAGACAGAAGATGAATAACGAGACCTAGATGAGAACTGATGAGAAACATTACAGAAGCACAGCTGAAGATACAGCTAATGTAGTTTAGCTGTAACTCCATTTCCAGGATAAATCTGTACAAGATTTTGTGGCACAGTTCAGCATGTGCTGCAATGGTAAGAATCACTCAAAAACCATACTACAGTCACGAGTAGTGCAATATAGAGAGGACAGACCTGACTTAACCTTTAAATATGTGCTCTGTCTGTAGAGCCTGTGGCTTCACAGCTCTTGCCATAAATCAGAATACATCAAGCACACAAAGACAGGTTTGTTGGCAGTTGAAAGCTTCCCACTAAAGAAAACCACATATTTTAACCTATTTAAAGTTTTAGGCTGAGTATTCTATCTTTATTTGAACTCCAAAAGGGTTAACAGTTGCTACATACCCACTTTCATAGCCATATTTTCCTGCAAAATAGTTGGACTGCAGCTTTTCTTTTAGTTGCAAAACTGATGTAATATCAAATAACTGATTTGAATATATTGTATACCGGGATAAATTTAGAATTTGGAAACTGTGAAAGAGAAATATTTAAAATGTCAAAGAAACACACCAGTCACACCCCCAGTCAGGGAACTAGTGGAAAGGACAGGACCTTGCTGTGTCTGATCAGCTTCACTGAAGTATTTACCAACACCCAGTTTTTCACACCCGTGAAATAATGAAGGAAAGAAAAATAGCCAAAATTATAATTTCAGTACAGGTATACAGTACTCAGACAAAAGATGCATTAACATCAGCCAAATTAAACCAGCAGGAGGGAAAGAATTGAAGGAAAAAAGGAAGTAAAACTCAGCAGAATGAAAAGCAATGGAAATAGTGTCAAAGTTATGGATGAGAAATATGTACGATCTGTATTCAAGTTGCCTCTTTTCAGTTTTATTGAAGAAATAAAGCCTTACAATAAGTGATGAATCATTACTAATCCCTTTGATGGAATCATGTCAAGGAGAAACAAGTATATTTTTGGAACAGGTTGAGCTGCCATGTGTAATTCCATAAGCATCATATCCCATAGAGTCTATGGCCTGGGCAGATGAGATCATAACTCACTTATCAACATCACTACTCTGATGACATAAGAGCAACTAAGCACTGTGTCTTTTTTTAAAATAAAGCTTTAATTTTCCCCACTTAATATGCATTTCTGTTTGCTAGGGCTTCTACATCAGTAGGGTGCACTTTAATGTGATTTTTTAAATTAATGACTTGTAATAACAGTTTAAAATTAATATCCATAAACTAACTGTAATTTTATGCACCTTATTTTGCAAACAACATGCAGGTATTTGTATCAAGCTAACAGATTATTTTTATGCCTAAACAATAGTGATTCTAATATATTATTCTTTGTGCAGCCTTTCAAAGTTCTGTGTTAGGAAAAAATTGATTCATAGTTTATGGCTAACACAGATTTGCTAAGGCGGGTTATACCAAATAAACCATGGCAACATCTAAATGTGGTCTTGGACACTGAAGTTTAAGTGGGAGATGAAGATTCTCATGGAATTGCAGGAGGGGAGAGTGTGTGACTGAAAACTCATCAGAACAACAGTTATATAACCTTACACTGAAAAATTTTATCATGGATATAAATCAAAACATCCAAGTCCTTCCCTATGTTTGATTAAAGAGAAACTTTACAGCTTGCATGGTGTTAATAAAGTACAGTTTTGGTTTTACATTAATTAGTGAAATCCTCGGTGATGTGTTGCAATTATGGAATTGTCTACAAATATATTTGTGCCTAATGGGCTGGAAAGAATTACAATGACCCTCTCAGAATAATGAGATCTTGATTTTTGCCCTCTGTCTTGAGTGCCTGGTGAAAGGCAATGAACTGATCACATTACCAGCACTCAGAAGGAAACAGACTGGAAACACCTGTTTAAAGGTACATTACAAAATCTTTAAAGAGTCTTCTCAGTCCAGCTATTTCCAAATGAAAAAAATAGGTGTGGAAGGCAATATCTGTTTTCCCTCCTCTACTTCTGTTCCATAATCACTTTCAGCTCTCAGAAATCCATACTTATTTCAATAATCAGTATTTGGTTTCATTTCTGTTCTTCCTTCCATCATGGACTAGATCACAAGTCAGGACTAAGCCTCTTTCCCCACATTGTGACATGACAGGGACATTCAGCAGCATGGGTGCACAGCATGGGGATGTACTCCTAGAATGCAACTCCCCCCTG